GTTTGCCTTAGTGATTTCTTTTTAATATATAAAAACTCCCAGTGTGTGTTGTGGGTCCCATTATAGGGAAAATAAGAATAGACTTATTGCCTACCCAAAAAGCATCTTGGTAAAAGAATCGACTAATTAGGAACTTCCTTTGAAGTCGGAGTGCATCTGCCTGAGAGGCAAGGAACCAACAGTCTGCATACAAATAATTCATATCTGCAAAACAGATGTGCACACAACACTCAGTTTCTGGAACCATTCAAAAGTCAAGATGTGGATGAACAACCAGAACCTTCCATCATAGTTTAAAGCAGATGATTGCAAAGAAGAAGAACAACAACAGTGGTATGAAACACGCCTTGGAAGAGATCAAGGCCTCACCAGGCAATATTCCCAGACAGCCGTGAGTACACTATAGCCATCTATCATGTGGAGGTGACACACAGGCAATTTTTCATAGTTTAACATCTTGGTGGGGAAAGTTATTTGCTACACATATTTGTTAACATCAATGTCCACGTTTTGCAGGAAAGTCATAAAACTAAAATGAACCACACACAAAAAGTTTCCCACAATTTTTCATAGTTTAACAGTATCTTAGTAGAAGTTATTTGCTGTGCAAATTTGTTAATATTAATTTCATACAGAATTGTTGACAATGTACGTCAATGTTTTTTAAGTATACATTTTATATGTTACAAGTCCACTCTGACTGTAAATTAACCATGCGAGTTCCTGGCATCCAGAATTTTGTGGGGGGTGGGGATGGACCTACTGTCCTCCCAACAAGCTTGCCATAAAAGTCAATTAATTAGGAGTTTGCTGAAATCAGAGTCGTAGGGCTGAAAGGCAGCACAGATACCACAGCCTAGCTGTAAACCACAACACATGCCCACTGCCTTTTAAGGACAAACTACAGAGGATGAAAGATAAAGAACATGAAATTATAATTTGTAGGGACTAAATAAAAATGTAGTCGTAATACTTCAAAGTTGTGTTGCTTTAACTCTTTCAGCTCCAGGCGTCAACTTCAACTCCTATCTTAAAGATATATTGCCTAAAACAAAAAATGGCCAAATAAATTGTTTCAGTTAATACCATTATGGGACAGCGGAAGTTGTAGTTACAACTGGATAGAAGGAGTCAGTATTACAGTTCTTCTTTTTCTTAGCATTCACCGTTTTACAGATCTGGATTATTTGTATGCAGCCTGTCGGTTCCTTGCCACTCAGGCAGTTCACTCCGACTTTGAAAACACCCCTAAATAGTTGCCTCCAATGACTTTAAAAACACCCCTAATTAGTTGCCTCCAATGACGTACCTGTAAGTAAGAAAGAAAAAAAGGGTGGCCAGGGGGGGAGGGGGGAGGGGTCTAGTCTTTATTCTCAAATGTTACCATCTCTCTCCACAGAATTGCTAGTTACCTGCCCAGGTTTCCACACACACAAATTAGATCCTTAGATCACAACTTTCATGGTGCAAGGCAAATGGTTTGACCACTTCAGAATGGAAACCCTACAAAAACTGTTTGATAAAGATTTAGTTTACTTAATGGGTGTTCATTATTTGTTAACTTATTCACAGGTTTTGAGCTGACACTGATCATTTCCCCGGGCCCGACTTTTGTCAAAAACGACCTTGATTTCCAGGTCAACCCTGCCTGAACTCTTCGGAGTTCCAGGGAACGCATCATACGTTCATAGGTTCCTGCCCAATGAACGCATAATGCGCCCATTCTATTACTTTCTTTACTAACTCCTGGGCCTGTGATGCTAAACCCCATGGGACTCAGAGTTAAGTGGGTACCAGGTACAGTCCTGGGAAGTAAAGGCAGCTGGCATGATGCTGATGACATCACCCACCAAGTGCCATTTGGTCTATAAAAAAATATAGGTTTAGCCCTTTATGCCCAAAAGAGTCCTTTACTTATCATTTTCCACTGCTTTTCCTGAGTTATCTGACTAGAAAGTCAAGTGCTTTCATATTCTGAAATATATATTAATCAAGACAAAAAGATGCTTGGTGATAAAGCTTCCCTCAACTCGTGGATCACAGATTTCATTACATTAAAACTTTCATTGTGTGGATATTGTCAGGTCATATGCAATGCAGTGCAGGTGATCATGTTTGTCTGCAATGATTTGTTTTGTTTGTCATATTATTCTTTCCTGTTTCTTTTTCTGAAGAAGTCTCCCACACTTATTTATGCACCTAAGAGGCCAGTGTGTCTAATTTCATTTATCTCTCTGGATTCATTTCTTGCCAAACACAACCTCCTCTTTTGTGATTTTTACATGTGCAACTTACATATGGAACCTCCTGTATGTCACTGTTGTATGAGAAGGCTAAGTTCACTGTCCTAGAGATCAGGGGGACATGCGATATTTGAAACCACGGCTCTTGTCAGTATGGCCATCCTGAAGCTGGGATGTGAACCTGGTAACTTCTGAGCATGAGGTCGACTCATTGTCCCCTCCTGTATTTTTGATACGTTCAACTGATGATTGTTGTATTCGGTGACAGCTTATTTAGCACCATCTTAACTTGTGTCACTGTGCTCAATAAGCAGTGTACAGAAAAAAAACAAAAACAAATGGAGAACAACAAAAACAATTCAAAAATAAAAAGGACATCACAGGAAAACTCACACTTAGAAAAAAAAAAATAGCTGGTTCTACTTTCGTTTGGTTTGATTTATTTTCAGGGTATTAAAAAAAAAAGGTATTTGAAGACAGAGGATGCAAACATTTTAATTGACTAAGTGCCTGCCTTGTATAGATGACCTGAACGCAGTAATAATTATATCATGATGACAGAGAGGATCTGTTAGAATCAAGTTTGTGCAGTGTTGACAGTCTTGCAGTCTTTGGCAGGCCGGAGCATGTGTGGAGGTATCCAGAGGCCATATTGAGTTATCCAAAGCCATTTTGACACTATTGTGGGCCCCTAGACAAACAAATTTGTTGGTGCCCAACCAACCACCACTCACAGGGAAGTCACTTGACGTACACAGATTCATATGGGTTCCCTATGCGCATGGGTCCCATGCGTTAATATGGCACTGGAGGTATCCATATAGGTAATGTAGGCCATGATTTATAAACCAGCCCTAAGCAATTTTGTGTGTGGAAAGGTTGCAGGGAATAGATGAGAAAACTCATGCTATATACAAACTTGAACTCCTGATTTCTCAATTCTGTTCATTCATCTGTAATAAAATCAACCAGGCAGACACCAACACTGGTACAACAAATAGAGAAGAAAACCTTTAGTGTTTTATCCAGAAACATTACTGATGCACAATAAATAACTTTCCTGTATTCCTGTATAAGAGAGTGAAGACAACCAGTTCTTGTGTAAAAAAAACTTTAATTTGCATCAATCAGTATCAAACATACACTCAAGAAATATTGGTATCGCATGTTACAATGCAGATCAGTGATGAAGTTAAAACCATAAATTGTGACTTGAGAATATGTCATCTTTGATGAGAACATACATTACTATGTGGTTTTGAGCACATTAAATCTAGACATACACTAATGTGTCCTGACTACAAAACGTACAAAATCATATAAAGAAAAGACTGAATACATCTAGGCTCCCAGGTCAACCCAGCCTAATACAGGTACCAGGAAATGTCCTGGGAAGTAAAGATCACTGCCATGATATTGACCACATCACCCAAAGAGTTGACAGATGCTGTACAAAAATATGAGATAATCATTTTATGCCAGATGTGACTCAGGCCTGAAAAAGGTCCTCACTGATTTACTTTTCAAGGAAAAGAAGACAGAAGGAAATATATAATGTGTGGACAGATCTGTACACAGTGAAACTGAGACAAAAATAACTAAAATAACAATAAATGTGGATCCTTAGTGCTACGGTTTTTGTGAACTATAAGATTGTCGGAGTGATCTATGGGAAATGCGCCTTCTCCGCAAGGTCACTAACAACACTAGACGAGACAGGGTTACTAATACAGACTTTAGAGGGAAAGTTGAAATAAGACCATGTCTGGATTAAATTGACAGACAAAGAATGAATGTTGAATGAAGAATCAACATCACAGCACTCGGGACACTCCCATAAGTGCTCTGTCCCCTGTCTTCAGCAGCAAGCAAAAAGCTCCAATTCCAATCCCACCAGTATACAAAGAATGAAATGAAATGGCTCAGCCATCTAGTGAGAATGCTGCAAGGCCAAACTACATATGAGACTTTTTACAGCAGAATATCTGGGAGGAAGGCGAGAGAAAGACCAAGAAAGCTACGGATAAGTGATGTAGCCAAAACCTGCAAAAAGATGAATAATTCTACCACCTGAGAAGCAAAAGATACAGAAAACCACGACACTGGGCTACAACCTGGTATCAGTGAGATGACAGAAGAAGAAAATCTATGGGAGGAGATTCCAGCACTTATGTGCAACAAAACTATCATTCAAACAAACACACCCTCATGCACACAAATCTGGCAAATGGCATACAAATCTGGCAAACTGCATACAAAGCTGGCAAACGGCAAGGCTCTGTATCTCTATCCAAGCTCTCATGGACATGGAAGTGAAACCTGGAGCTTCAAGAAATGAGCATTTCCTCAAGAGTCTCATTGGTCAACACAGAAAAGGCATCATTATCATCATCAGCAGTTTTACACTTGTGGAGCTAGTGAGAAGATCAGAGTACCTATGGATCTGTCCGGAATGCTGTGATGACAGTCCTCACTAATCACACCAACCCCCTCTTCCCCCAATTTAAATTTCTGCTCACCGACTTTTATTGTTCAATGCTGCAGTCTTCGTTCATTTGGGTCATCAGTCATAGATGTCAGACATAAATTCAACAGGTGGCCTACTGTTATATAATGTTTACCAGCTTTCTCATATCCACTGCTTTGAACCAGACCCAGGCTACACACACTGTATGTCATTTATTGTTCCATGGATAAGTTTGAGGCCAACAGCATCACCTGTCAATCAAATAATGCTGAGCTCTGCTGCAGGCGCTGTCATTTGTCCTAGAGGAGTGTATAATAAAGATCTTCTGACTACAACAGGCAAATTGAATACAGTTTTGTTATATTTTCACTACAACATATACATTGAGAATTTCTGCCTATTCAGTTATGCAGTAGATCAGCTAGTTAGCTATTTAGCTTTTAGAGAATGTTGCAAACTAACCCGGACTGTTGGTCACTTATGGTTTCACTAGGCAATTTTTACATTTTATTTCTAAACTCATACCACTGTCAAAATTAAAGCAAAGTGGTCTGCTGTCAAACTGCATGCTGCTACCTCAGACTGGAAATGATGGAATTATGGAACCACATTCATAAACCATAATCAACAGATGCTGACAATAGACAAGAGCATGTCGGAAATAGTTTGTTGAAATTTATTTCATTAGATCAATCAGTCTAAAGACTTAGTATTGAAAATGTTTAATCATACAAATCTACTGTCTCCTATTCTGTACAATTCTAAACATCCTTGCAAGCTTGTGTAATCATATAAATCTACTGTCTCCTATTCTGTACAATTCTCTCCTATTCTGTACAAGTCCAAACATCCTTGCAAGCTTGTGTAATCATATAAATCTACTCTCTCCTATTCTGTACAATTCTCTTCAGTTCTGTACAAGTCCAAACATCCTTGCAAGCTTGTGTAATCATATAAATCTACTCTCTCCTATTCTGTACAATTCTCTTCAGTTCTGTACAAGTCCAAACATCCTTGCAAGCTTGTGTAATCATATAAATCTACTCTCTCCTATTCTGTACAATTCTCTTCAGTTCTGTACAAGTCTAAACATCCTTGCAAGCTTGTGTAATCATATAAATCTACTGTCTCCTATTCTATTCTCTTCAGTTCTGTACAAGTCCAAACATCCTTGCAAGCTTGTGTAATCATATAAATCTACTCTCTCCTATTCTGTACAATTCTCTTCAGTTCTGTACAAGTCCAAACATCCTTGCAAGCTTGTGTAATCATATAAATCTACTCTCTCCTATTCTGTACAATTCTCTTCAGTTCTGTACAAGTCTAAACATCCTTGCAAGCTTGTGTAATCATATAAATCTACTCTCTCCTATTCTGTACAATTCTCTTCAGTTCTGTACAAGTCTAAACATCCTTGCAAGCTTGTGTAATCATATAAATCTACTCTCTCCTATTCTGTACAATTCTCTTCAGTTCTGTACAAGTCTAAACATCCTTGCAAGCTTGTGTAATCATATAAATCTACTCTCTCCTATTCTGTACAATTCTCTTCAGTTCTGTACAAGTCCAAACATCCTTGCAAGCTTGTGTAATCATATAAATCTACTCTCTCCTATTCTGTACAATTCTCTTCAGTTCTGTACAAGTCTAAACATCCTTGCAAGCTTGCGTAATCATATAAATCTACTGTCTCCTATTCTATTCTCTTCAGTTCTGTACAAGTCTAAACATCCTTGCAAGCTTATGTAATGTAGCTTTTGTTCTGAATCTTACCTGCCACTATTTTCAGTGATTTACCTCCATATTTCATATTGCCAAGATGTCTTTAGGGGCTGTGTTTATTTGATCTCTTCTGTCCAGCTTATTTCTCCCAATTTTAAAAAACCTTGTAAGCAAATTTTGCGGATCAATATTATTTTTAACATCAAAGAACAAAAACGGGCCTGTCCTTACAAGATGAATACGATAAAAATGTAACTGAATTCAAAGTGTTCCAAATTTTAATGGCCATTCTCAATATAAATGTTCAAAAACAAGTAGAACTCGTGCAAAAAGTGAAGCAGTGAAAATAATTGATAATGCTAATCTGTTAGTTATTTTTATTATGAATGTTGTAGATTCAACATAAAGAAATATTTATTCTACACATTTACCTATGTCAATGCAATAAAGGAATACATCACTTTTTTGGCCAACTGTTGTCAGCATTTCCTGCCATACAGTATTTCGAATAAATTAAAAAAAAACAACTGAGGCGGCCAAAGGAGCAAGAAGCAGAAACTGATATCTCCCATGACATCTGAATCAGTAAAAGAGGAAGTGAAGAAGAAGAAGAAGAAGACTGATAGAACAGAACAAATATTAAATTCAATAAAGACTATATCCATGTTTTGAGTCATATTTGGCATACTGCATTAGGCCCCCATACTTTGACAGACCTGCTAGTACTCTACAGATGATATCAGTACCACACCAGTCACCTTCCCAGAATATTTCTTAGTAACAGTTTAGAAAGGAAGCCCAGGCCAATGTTTAAAAATCTACTTTAAGGTGAATTCGTTCATCTATTTGTTTGTATTTACCAGCTGTAAACTCTGGCCGAACGACCTGGTTTTAAGTCTATTTCTGGACTTAAGCTTTGTTCCAGGTCCTGAGTAAAGGATGTGCATCTGTTTATTTATTATTTTATTATGCAGACTGTTGGTTCCGTGCCTCTGAGAATGAAGGAAACATCCCTAAATAGTTGCCTTCTACAACATGATTGTTGGGGAGGGGGAGAGGGGGGGGGGGTAGTGGGTCTATTCTTTTTCTACCCAAAATGGGACCCTGGAGCCCATATAGTGATAATGGGGATCCAAGCCTCTAACCTGGGTTGGTTGACAAGCAGAAACAGTTCACAGGAAAGGCTTCCATGAAGGTTGATAAGGTGCAGTAGTCAGAAAGTTGATAACAGGGAAAGAACCTGAAAACAATGGGCAATTAAAAGAATGAAATACAAAATTTGAAACACCCTGCCTAGTAAGGACAGGGAGGACCATGAAATAGAATAAACTGAAACATGTTTTTGTTAATTAATATAAATAATACAACGAACATTATACATATATTTGTATAGAATTGAGACAATGGATTTACATGATTACACAAGCTTGCAAGGATGTTTAGGCTTGTGCAGAACTGAAGAGAATTGTATAGAAGACATATATTGTATATATCCTAGTCCCAAGCATGAACGAGGAGGGTTGGTCATGGTGCAGCGCCCCCCACCCTGTAAAAGTGGGCTTTGTTTTACTAAAGAAACTTGAATGAGAGAGGCCAAATGTGCAGGACTGGGTCAATTTGTGACGTCGAATGGATTGCAGGATAGAACGGAATGGAGGAACAGACTATGAACCTTACGTTACATACAATGGCACAACAGGACAATGGTGACAAAAAGTCACATTTGTACAAATGTGAAAGTTTTACCAGTTCAGATACTCACATCAGACAATTTGGCTCTCTTCTTTGCCTTCACATCATCTTCCTCATCAAGTTTCTCTAGCATTCTTTGTTTATACCTTCATGTAATGGAAAAAATAAAATGCTTATTATACCCTAGTTCATATAAATACCGAAACAACAGGCTATAAATACTGAAGCAACAAGCTATAAATACTGAAGCAACAGGCTATAAATACTGAAGCAACAGGCTATAAATACTGAAGCAACAGGCTATAAATACTGAAGCAACAGGCTATAAATACTGAAGCAACAGGCTATAAATACTGAAGCAACAGGCTATAAATGCTGAAGCAACAGGCTATAAATGCTGAAGCAACAGGCTATAAATGCTGAAGCAACAGGCTATAAATACTGAAGCAACAGGCTATAAATACTGAAGCAACAGGCTATAAATACTGAAGCAACAGGCTATAAATACTGAAACAACAGGCTATAAATGCTGAAGCAACAGGCATTCATTTAACTATGTCAGTGGCTTTGCAAAGTAGACAGACTAGCTTCCTTTATTTTCCAAAGGAATCAACCACATTCGTATGAGATAATGTCACTCACTTCAGATCTATGACGACTGGAACCAAATTATTTTTTTTTTTTAGAAACTTCAGAGAGAGCTGGCTACTTGCATCATAGATTAGATAATCCAAACTCTTTAGATGATCAAGAGAAAGGGTAACAAGGATGTTTCGTGAAACATAAATACTCAATATTTCATGAATATGCTTAAGAAAATAGCAATAGGTATACGCTGAATCGGTGCATTTGGAAATCACACTTTAACCTCCCTCACCTGGATCTATACATCTGGCCATGCCAGCATGAAAGGTATTAAATGAGCTGACCAACTGGCAAGCAGTGCACTAACACATGTAGGAAGAAGTAGGGACACAGCAGACATCATCAAGTCTGTATAGACTAGGTTAGTGGATAATGATGAATCTCTGACGCTAACACGACTGCGTGACATAGGAGTAAAGCTTGGTGAAACTCGTCAATGCCACCTCTGAAGCTGAGATAGGAGACATTATAACCAGCTCCTCATGGAAATAATCAGTAGAGGAAGTACCTTAGAGTGGCTGCTGCACTGGAGGACTGAGCAAGCATGGGAATGCCCAATGTGCAGTAATGTCGACTGTGATAACATAATATAATCTGGTATATGGGTGACAAAAAGAAAGTTCAAGTGGACACCAATACACAATGTTTGGTATCCTGGCACATCTTTATTCAACAATTACTGACAAGTGACACGAGGCGGTGGACTGACATGATGACTAGCATCATACAGCATAGACTAAAGAAGAAGAAACTGCACTATTGGGTGCATTAACCACTGTTCTACATCTTTAACGTTGACTATACACTAAATTTAGGTTTCTCTGTGGTGAAGTAGTTAAGCTGTTTGCCTTGCGCTCTGAAGGCTGTGGGTTCGTTTCACTGGTGCAATTTTTACGGAGATTCCTGGAGATCGTCACGGAAGCTTTAGAGTTCGTGCCTGTGCGACACTGTCAGCAGGCGGCTTGCCGCTCTGGGGAGAGAGACTGAGCCATATATGATAAAACCCGGGGCAATTAAGTCAAACCTCTTGACTTTAATTTTAGTGCATTAAATAACAACTGCCAAAAACAGCAGCTGATGAATATGGTAATAAATAAGCATATTCTAGAGCGGTATTCTTTCAACAATTTACATCTCCAGACCCAGGTGAAAAAAAATTGCAAAAAAAAAAATATTTTGCACACAGGCTGAAGGCAGATAGAGACAAATAAAAATACAGAGAGCATTTTATTTATTACATCATGATTAGGTGGAAGTTTTTCGCAGATGACGAGAAAATGTCTACGACCGGTTGACTGTGGCTGCCAACCAGGACAGCAGCCCTAGTGTCATCTCTGTAAGGGTAGGATGTTTCTTTCTGACAAAAGCAGCCCTGGGTTTGATCTAATATTACAAAACATACTGCATCATGGGGGAAGAGACCCACAGCACCCCCCCCCCCCCAACCCCCAAAGACCATGTCATAGAAGGTGACGTATCTAGAAGGATTTCCTTCAAAGTCGAAGTGCATCTGTCTGAGAGGTAGGGAACTAAATGTCTGCAAACAAACAAGCCAGATCTGGAAAAAGACCGAAGTCCAGAAGTGGACGAACAACCAGAACTTCCCGCTGCAGTTTACACCTATTGGGCGTGAAGAAAAAAAAGAAGGAATAACTATCAACATTCATGACACTTACACATCGCTGTCTGGATTGTTTTCCTGGTTTCGACAGGAGTCCAGCTTCTTTTGGATTGCCCCAGCTTGTTCTCTTGGCACTGGTTCAACTCCTTTGACGATAAATTTAACACCTGAAATCCAAAGTTGGTAAATTAATCTTCTGAGACACATTTCTAATTTTATATAACACGTCATGTGGCACTGGTACTAATGGCTGTTGACAAACTTCTGTTTCGTGTGCTGACATACAATTATAAAACATGTTCTTCAATGCCATTATTTCTCTTGAACTGTTGTCTCTTTTTCCTCTCTCCTGTTGTTCCAACATACTCCAGTTTCCTCTTTGCAGTGTGCCCAAATTTTAGCACAGCAAAATATTAAAAAGATATAAAAGCTGCCTCTTTTATACCATGTCTCTTTCATAACTGGCCCTATTTATTTCATCTACTAAATTAACTATCCAATTAACATATTTCACTTAACCAGAGGTGAAGAAAAGTTTCTGGCACTAGATAGCAAATAGCGTAAAAAAAAACTGAACTAGAATATCTCTGCAGAGGAACCCACACGGTAAAAGAGACAGAAGCAGACCTAAAACAAAGTGAGAAGAGAATGAGATAAAGATGAATAACAAGGAGACAACATAAAATGAGCTGCAGGGAATGGCAGAAGATCGAGCGAACTGGCTTGTGATTAAGAGTCTATGTCCCAATGAGGATTAAATGTTATCTTTTGAAGAACAAAAATAATAATTTGATCATGTTTTAAGCATTAGGGTTTCAAGAAGTTTTGCTTATAATTGCAATCTTTATTGTACTAGCACTTGTTCTTTCTTGTGGTTCCATTAGATTTTGTTGTCAGAGACGTTTAACTGATGGTGATTATGTCTATTGAATTCTTGTAACATATCGGCATTGATTTCCAAGGAGGCAGGTATTCTTTCAGTTCCATTCTGCCATTGCCACCGCGAGGTATTTGGCCATTCTATTTGGTATTGATTCTTTATTCTTTTTGGTTGCCTCTTTACATGAGATTTTTTCCCGTTATTGCTATCTGGAGAACTTATAGGCAATGTTGTAGATAGAGACAGCTAAAATATTTAGCACCATATCCCAGTTGCTGTATTGCCTGTCAACATTTGGTTTTTGATAGCTTACTGACTTTTGCTGTAAGGATGAGAGTTGGCACAAAATCAACAAATGTCTAATTTACTGTGGCAAACTGATTTGGTATGAAATGCTTGTTAGCATCAGGTACACTGAAGTACTCTTGCGATATTTAGCTCCGGTTTCTGTTTTTCTTAAAAATAAGTGAGACAATGTCACCTCAAACCCCACCCCATAACAAACATAAGCCTGAAGTTACCTAGTCCATGTCAACACTGTAAATTTGACTACTTAACATGACAGAAGCTGGGCTAGTTAAAGTAAGACTAACTTACGCCGCAGCTGATAAAGAGTATTTTCAGCTTCCTTTTCCGAGGCTGTCTTCAACAGAGTGTTCTTTATATACCTGGCAACAAAAATAAGTAAAGTAAAGGTCCCTGGTATGTGCATGTACACAGACACTACTACAAACAAATTATGTAACACACAATCTAACATAATATTAAAAACTGATTACTCTGCAGACCTCTCAAACAATTCCGTAAATACAAATCATTATATTTCCTTATGTATTTATTAATTCACACATACACAGATGTAATTAAAGATGAATTAAAAACAAAACAAAAAACAGGCCGTAAGCCGAAATGCACCATTTACGAACCATGCCTGCTTGCTTTCTTCTTCTTCTGCCCTTTATCCCTCAGTGAAGCACAGACCCTAAAGCTACTCATCCTATCCTTGCCAAAGCACGCAGCCTACTCCATGTCCCACTTATGTTCACATCACTCTAGTTCCCTTGTCTAATTGTTTTTATCTGCCTTTTGCCCTTTGACCATGTGTATTCCGGTGCAAAGACATTCTACTTTTCCGTTATCAGGTTTTTTCCAGTATGTTTCCTATCCAATGCCTTTCCCTGCACTAAAATTTGCTTAGTTCTCTACAAAATTGGTTCTTCCTTCCTTTTCTATTAATAATTGTTATTTTTTGTATGTGGAGATTTGAAGGTCATTTCTGCATTTTTTAAAGGAAATATATTTTACCTTTTAAGGTCCCATGACTGGATGAATATAATGAAATTTATGCAGTAAAATATACAATGTATGGAATGAGATCTAGAAGACATATAATTTACCCGTCTAATACAATTCTTTCCTTAGCAGCACCAAACTTTACAGCTGCAAGTGCAATCTGGAAATAAAAGAAATATCAAAATTCAGTAACCCAAATCGGCTACAGGTTATCTGGGCAAGCGTTGCATGGGACAACAATAGAAAAACAAGTAATTGTACTTAGCATTTTGAACTAATGTTGACCAATCTGCCAGCCAAAAAGTGTCGCTGGCTTATTCAGATATAAGTCTACCAACATATGTCTGATGTGTCACTGGCATGGAAAGGGTATTTTACTTACTTTTTATAACAAAACAAGGTTCAAAACTTCTCACGAACTTGCCACGGTGAGAGTTCCTTCCCCGACAAATTCATGCCGCAGCTGGTAGCACACAGCCTGCCCTATATTTTGGGGGTGTTATGAGAACGTCACGCAAGTAGTATGTGGAAATAGTCAAGTGCAAGTAAGTGGTGACAACATGAGAAAAGAGACAATGATTAAACTGTTGAAAATTAGGAATACATGACACCCCCACAACATATGACAGGCTGTGGCATGAATGAGAGGGGAAGAAACTTTCACCGGGAAAGTCCACGATACACATGCTAATTTCATCAAAACTGGTCAAAGGTTGATTTTGATTGGATTCAAGAACCAACATCACAGAATTTCTATAAACGATCGGTCAACATCCTCAACAGCCATCGCAGAGTTCGAATACCATTGGTGAAAGTAGCAGTAAGATTATATGTCCTCTTGCCTTTCCTCTGAGCTATATCTTCCTTCTCTATATGAATCCTCGCCTGAGCTGAACTAGTCACCGTTTTCAGCAGATAGCCAAGAGATAGTAAGAAAGAGAAGACGAGGGAATGGTGAGAGAGAAAGGTCAAAGGTTAACACATCTACGCACAAACTTAATTCGGCTAAGACAGACATTAATAATGAGGCCAAATTAGGTACAATAGGAGTTAAAATATTTCAGAAATTTAAAACATAATATAAACATGCAATATATTTCTGAAAACTCAGTCGATAAAGATGATGAATGTTATGCATAAGACTTCAAATTCGCTGAAAATGAATGCATAAATAGAAGTAAAGGACTGACAAAGTAGAAAATATCAATGAATAAAAGCATAAAGAAAGCTGTACAAATGGGGAAGAGATCAATAGGCTAATTTTAAAACTACATATTTTAACATGACAACTTCTAATCGAATTGCATAACACGAGTATAAGAAGTGTGAAAAGAGAACAACGTGAGACATAATTGGAAAATAAAATGACATTAGAACGGAGATAACATAATAAGAGAAGTGACAGAGGATAGGTTAAAAAAAAAAACGATGAGGTCAGAGTACTGAGGGAAAGGATGGAAGATATGAGCTGACAATAGTGAAAGGAGATAAAAAAATGAACTAATAAAGAAAGGACAGAAAGATACGATGAAAAAGTTAAAAGAGGAAAGTGAAGACAGATGGAGAGGGGAGTGAACTACAGAAAATGAGGTAGTAGTAGTAAGCTAAGGACAATGTAACCACACTGCGAGAAGTAAAGAGAGACGTTCCATAGGGTAAAAAAGGAATGACATAAAGAAAGTGAGACAGGCATATACACACAGAGACACTAAACCTGTGAGGGTGAAAATATGAGGCAAGCATCAGACAGCAAACTCCTCTCCAAAAACTCCTCAGCAGGCCGTCTGATCCTCTCCACATTGGGAATGTCTCTGCAATGAGTCTGTAAACAGCAGAAACCAATGTTACTGCACCTTACATAACATTTATAACACAAAGCGAAATCGTAATCTTTTTCTGCTCTAATTTATCATTCACCTGCTTTTCCTTATTTAGTTCATCATCATCACCATAACGTATCACTACGTGTCGTTGGGTCACCAGTTTCTGTTGACTGTCTGATCAGCACTCTCTATCTTTGGCTGTCAGTTCCGGTGGACTTCATGGTTGCATGCCTGAGGCCTTTTCAGTCAGTCAGGTTCTGTAACCAAATCTTTCTTGGTCTGCCTCTTCTCCTCTTTCCCTCTACTGAGCCCTGCAGTATTGTTTTTGAGAGGCCGTTAGATCTTATTACATGTCCATACCATTACATTTTTCACCTTTTCACTTTAGTTACAAGAGGTTTATAGTTGCCCATGTGCTGTATAATTTTATGGTGAACCCCTTCATTTGTAATGTGGTCTTTGTATGATATGCCAAGAAATTTAACTTGTTCAACTTGTTTACAGTCTTCTATTTCTGCACATCTGCTTTCTATCCAACTTTCTTTCCTTATTTAGTTGACAGCAGCCCAAGACATGAGTAATAATTTGTGATTACAGCCTCCTGTCATGCATTGCAATCATTTATTATATAAATATCTGTCCATCAATACTCCATGTCAGATCTGCTCCAAAAACAAAGGGGGTTTGACATTCATTCCTATTGCGCCATTATGTGTCACAAGGAGCTCACATATATTCCTCCATCCCATTCTAAACTATGCAACAATTTCAATATCATAGATGGAAGGCAGTGCAGCAGCTTTGGCTTCTCTCATAAAAGTTCACTTTAAGATTTCTAATTGACGCCCTCATTTCATCATTCCCCAATTTCCCATTCTAGTGCCTGTTTGGCACATTAGATGCAATAAAGCAAACCAAGTATTGGGACAGCTAGCTCCCCTCTTACAGGATAGGACAATCCCAATCAGCACAAAGAGACATCTTATTCAAAGCATATTTATTCCAACTCTGTGCTACCAGTGCCAGACATAGTCACTCACAACAAACCATAAAAGAAAATTAGGCACCATGGAAATGAGATGTCTGAGAAGGGCTGTAGGAGTGACCATAACAGATAAGATCAGGAATGAGATCATAAGAGAAAAAGTCGGCACAGAACCAATTCTAAATTACATACGAAGACAGCAAGTTAAATGGTTTGCCCACTTAGAGAGAATGCCTTGTGTCACCATACCATACAAAGCATACATGGAAAGGGAAGAAGGACGTAGAGCACGAGGTAGACCAAGAACAAAATGGAAGGATAACATCAGAGAAACTCTACAACAGCACGATGTGCCTATGGTCGATGCGGCCAGAAGAGCTAGAAACAGAACCTTATATCTCTCTCGACACCCACAGCGGTAAAAGAGGAAGTGTAGAAGAAGAAGAAGAAGTGCCTGTTTGGGGATTCTCTATTTGCTCTTCTCAGAATGTGTCCATTATTGCACCATCTTCTCCATCTTATAACTGTTGATACTAGTGGTTGCCCAGACATTACTCTTATTTCTTCAAGCCTCTTGAATTCATCCCATTTAATCTTTAGCATTTTCCTCAGGCATTTAATTTTCGTGTCTTTAGTGGTTCCCCAACTTTCACCGGCATATGTCAAAACTGAAACTACATTTATCATCATTATGGTCTGCCTGAAAGAAACTTAAGTCTCTCACCAGCTCTTCTGCCTTGTGTACTTTTATTTTCAAGGAGTCACTTAGATCCTTAATTACATAAGAAATTAAAATAAGTAACCTGGTTCTAAAACTATTTAATTTTGATTTCCAAATGTGTTTAAGCCTTCAAAAGCCGCTGATGCCTCGCCAGTGTGTGTTACAATTTCTTTCTTTGTGTTTCCTTGATTATCAAGATAACTACCTAAATAAGAAAACTGATCTGTTACTTTAATTCTTGTTGTCTCCACTGTTGCATCTGTTTGATCTGTTATTAGTGTTTTAAATATGCTGATGTGCTATTTCAAACTGTCACCATCTTACAATCATATTTGTGGTGGTATAGTAGGCAGTGCACTTATCTGCCACATCACTGGCTCAAGTTCCATCCACAACAAACAACACAGGCTAAGTTGCTTTCTACCAGCATTGCTCTGGGGTTACTCAGGATCATAACAACAGGCCCATGGCCTGAGGAGGGAAACTGAGCAACTCACCTCATTACTGCGTGGCCTATCTGACTTTTGAAGAGAACTAATTGCACATGTCAGAAGGAGACAATCTGTATTCATTGGACATGTCATGAGAAGGAGAAAATTGTGAAGGTGGGAAAGCTAAAGAGAAAAAGCGGTAGAGGTTGATCATCTGTGTCAGAACTGACTGAAAGTACACAAGACAAAAGGTTGTGGTTTAGACATGACTGCCATTGCCACATGACATGGACTATAAGAATGAGAGTATCTAAAGATGGAACATTTTACATTCCAAATGCAGCATCTGATACAGGACTACTTGTGCCTTTTTTTTTAAAATGAGCATTCTGAAGACAACAGGGAGTCCCCCATGGTGTAGTGGCTAGACACACGCCTGAAAGTCATCGTTTCAAATCCACACCAAGCCAGATTTTTTAAAACACTGGTTCTCAAGTCCAACTAGACTATAATAGGTACCACCTAAAGAACTGGGAAGTAAAGGTGGCTGATGTGATGTTGACCACATCACTAACCGAGAGAGAGAGAGAGAGAGAGAGAGAGAGAGAAAGAGAGAGATAGAGAGAGAGAGAGAAAGAGCATCTATGAGTGAGTTCAGTGCATAATTTCCATTAACCATTCAATAAGCTGAAATATCTGGACTTCCCAACTTTCCCTTACCTTGATGTCTATTAAGAAGCCTTCAAGAGGTCTGAAAGGGTTATGCACCGTTAAATGGTAGTTTAACTTCGACATAAGAGTCAATTCAAAACTGAGAATGGCATCTGCAAACTTTTCCCGATCTCCTCTGAGATTCTTGACAAACTGGCCAATGGGGACATAAAATTCTTCCACTTTACAGGCCAGATAGACACACGTCAGCCTGGAAAACAATAAAACAAAATAAACGATGTTGAGTAGGGTTTCTTATTATAACGAGCCATCACTACTTTAATGAAAGTGATTCATAAACAGATAATTCAATAATACGCTTTGCTGACAATTAAAACTATTTTGAAAAGAATAAATCAAGGTTTGACTCCATATCCCCCCTGTCCCGGCTGATGGACATTAGTGCAGCCTGGAGCTGCAAGAAATGAACATTTCAATTAGGACACAGGACATTTAATTAATCAACACAGAATAGATGTCATAAGTAAAAATATATTTGTGAAGCTACTGAGGTAGATATCGGAGTGGAGTGCCTATGGATCTGTCTGGGGTGCCTTGATGATAATCCCTACTGATCACAAAACATCTTATGTCCTGTACAGCATTCAGTAAATCAGCATGGTTAAGACTCACTAGCCCCCCCCCCCCCCCCCCCCCCCCCCCCCCCCCCCCCCCCCCCCCCCCCCCCCCCCCCCCCCCCCCCCCACAGTAGAGCTGTAAACCTTATTCAGGATATGTCAAACCAACCCCAACATTTACTGGCTGTTTGGTTTTACTAAGCAATTTTACATTCAGTAGCATGCCAAGGTTTGCTGAAAGATAACGACACTCCCACTGTTGTCCAAATAATATAAAGAAGTTTGCTCAAAGACTGATACAATTATGACTGAGTTATCTTACTTTAATCACTGCATTTAAAATATTAATGTCTCTGGATAGGTACTAGGCTTATTAGGGGAGGAGGGGGGGGGGGGGGGGCCACAAGCATACCATAAAAGGCAACTGATCAGGTCATGTTCTTCAAATCCGGAATGCACCAGTCTAAGAGGTGAGGAACCAATGGTCTGCATATAGATAAGCCAGATCCGTAAAACAGACATGCATGCACAAATTAAGTTTTGGGACAAGACCAAAGTTGTAAATGGACAAACAATCAGAACTTTTGACCAGAGTTTACCGCTACTGAATGCTAAGAAGAAAAAGAAAATACCAAGGCAATAGTTCTAACTGTGTATGTATTATGCATGAGCTAACAACATTTGAACTTTTCCAATAGGGTAATAAAAGAACAGGACACTAAGGAGAATTGATGAGAATGCTGATCAAAACAACCCTATTTAAATGCATTATGAAGATGCAGGACACCAAGAATCTGAAACTGAATACAGCCCACTTTATGCAGAGATTGCACTCTGTTAGTTTACGTCAAGTTCACTGGCTGTAAACTCCAGCAGAAAGTTCTGGTTGTTTGCCCACTTCTGGACTTTGGTCTTATTCCAGAAGAGTGACGGCAATGAATGTCAGTGACGAACTGTCAGAGATAAACTGTTACTGAAACCATGAGAACAGAAAGTATATGTTTTTAGATAAGGTTGTTGTTGGCAACTTGCCGTCTTTCCCAACAGCCAGCGTGACAAGCAAGACCTGCTTATGTTGAGAAATGTCTTCCACAATTAGAGCAGTGGATTTCAGGAATGTTGTTACCACCTCAAATATATTTATATGCTTCTTCTCAGATGAGCAATCTTAACCCATCTGCAATCATTTTTCTCTTTTACTCCTGTTCCTTTCTTTACTTTTCTTCCACCATGATTTTGGTCCATGGAATTCTGTTCCCAAAAATCCCCCTTAATACATGTATCATTCATTTCCCGCTTGCATACATCTATATATTATAGGAGAGGTTGATCTTAACAAATTCTATACCAATCTGTAATTCACGACAGAGGATGTCCTTAAGGACTTTACCAAACTCCAAGTCTGACTATGCCTTCTGAGCCTTCGGAGACTGGGCATTCAGAAAATGTGTGATACCTGCTCTTTCCAGCAGGCCAGTTCCAGATAAGACACACTTCACATCTCAGTGGCAGTATCTGCTAGGACATGTTAAAGTAAAAAAGAACTAAAAATTTAAATAAATTAATGCGTAATGCAAAACATGATGAAATGAAACCGGACCCAATGCTTTAATACAAACATATTACAAGTAATTTGCAATTTTTAATGAACCATTTAGCTGCAAACTTTATGCAGGAAGCATTAGTATGGAAAAGGTGGGAAGTTCTGACATCCAGCCAACAGCCCCAATTTGTTAGCACAGGACTCATTCGTTCAATGAATATCTACCAACACGGCTGTCATGACAACATGACCAAATGATTTCAGGATTTTTAATGAAGCCAGTGGGACAGATTTGATTTGATTGCACCCCATTAACAATTTAATCCTACCAGACTGCTGGCCCAATTTACGGGAATTTCTTAACCTGATGCTACACCGCTGGCCCTAACTTTCGGCTTTTTGCATAGTATGGGAAAAAGATGCGTCACGGACTAAAAATAATTACCCAATCATTATCAATCCTCTTTGTTAGACATTGCAAATGTCTGCTCGCATGTGTTTGGATTATATTTGTGTTGTTTTATGTGGAAAAATTCTGAAAATTCACAATGAAACGGGCAATCGATACTTTGGTTTATTCAGACTCTGCGGGGTGATATTTTTATAAAGAATACGTTCTTGAAGTGACACTGTCAGTGAGCGCGCAAATGATGAGGAAAATCTTGAAATAGATCGATAGTAGGAGAAGGGGGTGTGTCCATCAAACGGCAACATCTGGTGTTCACTTTGTGAAACAAAGTTGATCCTGATGAGTGGATTCGCACACAAAGGTGGAATATTGGCGCTATATAAAAGGTAAGCCTATTTTCTAGAATGACTTCAAGTTCCATCATATTCTAGCCACTCGTTTGCATGTAACTAATATTTTTGTATATCATGTTGGTTTTTTCGCGGTAATGCCCAGGAGCTCAGGTTATAGGGACAGTTAGGTTCAGGGCCTCAGGTCTGGTAGGGTTAATGTAAAATACTATAATAAACAATCTTTGTATAAAATTAAAAATAATATAAACTTACATAATGTCTTTAGGGTGATAGTCCATGTTAGAATTGTTCACATAGAATCGTTTGAAATATGACAGTGATGTCCCCTGAAAAATATACACAGTATATTGCATTCTGTGTACATGTATATTACGCATGTTTTTCTCTTTTAAACAATGAATTTTTAGCTGAAAGACTATACATATGAAAAATAAAAAAAATTAAAATTAAAAAAAATTGACGAAAAAACTGTAAAGAGCATTTTTAGAAATGTTTGTCATAATTTTTTTTTTAAATAAAAAAACCCAGTAGCAACCACAATGTGTAAATGTAAAATATAACTGCTTTATAACTATTATTTACAACTGAGTACATTGGATACCCTAGTGCTGGAATGTCATATCTGAAGGCAGGCATATCAGGAAATAACCAGCTCATAATATAATACAGAGAATGTGGCACTGTCAATCCTTCAACAAAAAATACACTACATTAAGTCAATTTATCAACACAAATAAGGGAGAAGAAATAATGACAGCATTAATAAGCTTGGCAAGTAAGTTCAATAAAACTGATAATTTCAAAAAAAAAAAAAAAAAAAAAAAAAAAAAAAAAAAAAAAAAAAAAAAAAAAAAAAAAAAAAAAAAAAGGTGGGTGACAGAGTAGAAGAAAACTAGGAATGAGACTAGGAACTGTTTACTAGTTAGTGTGTTTTACATAAGAATATTCTGTTTTAACAGGATATTGTTACAGAATCTTCTACAATTACTAGTGATTCTGGTACGTACTATAACGCATTTTGGCATAGGAGGCTGAAATTCAGCACAAAATTTCCGCAGTACAACTTCGTACTGACGGCTAAGTATCCTCTCTTCTTGCGGTGTTAGGAAATATGCAGCAACTTCTTGATCCTGTGAGACAAATCAAAATGATTCTAGTGAGATACACATAAGATGCAACACAAGTTTCTTTAACAGAAAGCCTTTTTCATTTACAGTACACAGACCAGTGAGGCAGAAATGGAAACACTGCATTTGTGGTAACGAGTTCGATATTGGGAGGGGGAGAGAGCTGATCAACAAATAAATGAAAACAAACAGAAAAAAATAAATATAACAGACTGAACATGTGGTATACAGAAAAACAGAAATGTAAAAAAAGACTCAGCTTGTGGTAAACAGCAAGAAATAAATTGAGACATGCAGACTGAGCTTGAAGCAAACAACAACAAAAATGTAATCAGCTAAACATGTGGTCAACAGAAATTAAAACAGACTGAGTGTGTGGTAAAGTTCAAAGTATGTTGCATTCCTTATTATGAGTTTGCATATGTTGCATTCTTTATTATGAGTTTGCACACCATTATTGACTCGTGTGGTTTTTATAGGTAACTTTATTTATTTTTTGTTTTGTATTTTGTTACTATGAAATTTGATCGTATTCAACAGGTTTCCTAAAACATAGTTCATTAAGGCTTCACGACTTTTCGATTAAGTTGTACCTTTAACTAAATGTAAATAGCACTTGCATATCTCAATGATATGTGTATTGTTATTCAACTGTTTTGAAATTTCAATTTTGCTTCATCTATATATATAAAAATCAATGTTTGTGTGTTTGTTTGCCCCCTATAGACTCAGAAACTACTGAACCGATTTAGCTGAAATTTTCAGGATATGTTTGTTTTGATACCGGATTTTGAACCATCGTGGTTTGAAATTCAACCTGTCACTGTTAGAGATAGGTGACCACTATTTAATCCATAATATCCGAAACTAATATTTATACCTTTAGTGATTTCTAATTATAGCCACATAAGTAATTGCGCATGCGCCGTAGTTACCATTCGCCGGCGAGTTACGTGCAGCCAACGCCTTCACTAATACATAGAGTAGGTCGTGGTACAGCAAACAAGACTATCTCTATATTTGCCCACAATAACCATATTAAACACGATTTCTATTTTCTGTTTTTTTTTTCAAACAACCCTTTGATTGAGGGGAAGAGGGGGGGGGGGGGGGGCAATCAAGGACTATCTCGAGTCGGCGCAGACAGTGACTGCGACATTAACTTCATTAACCGTGTTAGACACGTGCGATTTCTATTGTTGTGGCCGTTTCAGTAATATATCTGGAGTATCTGTCTACGAGAAAACAATTGCCTGCGGGTTTTGAATTGTGTTTTAATCGCGACACAGTAGTAGGGACACACATCTCTAATAGTTCTTTTTTCGTTGATCCGATTAAGTGGCTGCTTGGTCGAATGGTTTAAAACACTGGGGTTCCTGTGCGGGAGACCTGGGTTCGAATCCGCAGCAGTTAATTTTTTTTTTTACCCCGGACTAAAATAATATCCTCAGATCTGCTCTGTCGTGGTGACAGCACTAGCCATGTTGCCTTAATATAAAAAAAAAAAAAAAAAAAGTAAACGGGTAAACCATTTGATAATTAAATTTGACTATTTCGCATACTTATGATGCATTTTAAACTTTCCG